CTGTTGATTAAAGAAAGCCTGTGATCTCTTTGCAGAAGTACCTTTTGATCCCACCACTCTCCTTCATCTGGCAGTGTCCAATGTCATATGTTCAGTTGTTTTTTGGAGACCGATTTGACTATGAAGACAAGAAGTTTCGGACCATACTTAAATTGCTGGAAGAAGTATTTTTGCTCTTGTCCTCTGTATGGGGCATTGTAAGTTGTTACCGTAAGGTCATTGTATGTTTCCTGGAGTCAGGCGATTATGTGTTCTCCAAACTAAATCTCTTCTATAAATGACAAATATCATTCTGTTAGGTGGCAAAAACCGCCAGATTGAACCATGTGATGTCAAACTAGCTCCATCCACCTTTTCTTTATAATAAGGGCTCTGGAAATTCGATCTTACTGTCAAACTGATTGATTATGCCTTGCCTTATTTGAATTATATATCTGATTTTAGGGCCAGTTCATGCCAGAACATGGAACGGGAACTCAATATTCTGCACATGTTTCCCGCATCACATTCAAACTGCATTGCACATAATGATCTGCAGCGGGTGCCAGTGTTAACTTAATGACACCCCAAATGCAGGCTGCAAATACAGTTTGTTTGCTTGCACCAGATCACATGGTACAGAAATACCATGCAATCTGGTTGCTGTACGTTTTGTAAAATAGTGTAGCCACTACTTCTGGTGTGATCTGGTGCAATTTCAGCCAATGCAAATAAGTTAGCTGAAATCTAACTGCACCCAGATCGCATGTGAATCACACATGAATACACAGAACTTTTCTGTGCAAACCATGTTGTGAACCAGACCTGAACCAGGTCATGTAATCATCTCATTGAAAAAAATGAGATGCTGAAAAAAAAACATTAATAGAGCAATCAAATTGTGTCTAGTGATGACCTGACCTGCTCTGGGTTTGGTTCCAGCAGGGTTTGGCAAACGTCTAAGAAGTTCAGATGCCAAACCCAAATCCCATTAAAATAAATCGGAGCCAAATCTGCCAAATTAACAAGTCCAATTTCTGGACTAATAGGCAAGGGGATATCAAAAACAGCACGAGAAGTGGTTGGGCACTGCCCTGGTGAAGATTTACTATAGCAAAAAACAAATAAAATCTATGCAGTCAGGAGCAATGATCTTTTTAAAGCCCTGGCATTTACAAATGGAAATTACACCTCCCTAGTGACACACCAATCCCAAAGGTCCCTCAAAATACAAAATCAATCTGTTGTGCAGGTTTCTTCTTCTTCTTTTTTTTTTCTTTTCAATGAAGTTTTATTTTATGGCAATTTAAACTGTGTAATTTTTTTTTCTTTTGTAAATGTCACTTTTGCTAGGGCACATCCTACAGCAAGAATGAAAAAAATTGTTTTGGCAATCCCCCTAAATGCATACGAGACCCTGAGGGTGCCTCTCACAAACAAAAATACAAAAATAAAACATGTAAGGTCTCCCCCATAATAATCCATACCGGACACCTAGACTCCTAATATGAGTATTCAGCCTGGCTGGCCACAGGAAAGAGGGGGGAGTGTGTGCGCAAGCATGGACCCCTCTTCTCCTCCTGAACCATACCAGCCCACATCTCCTCAACATGGATGGGTTACCTTACCAGGGTGGACCCCCCCTGGCAAAGCATCGTGTTCCCATGTTGATGAGGACAAGGGCCTATTCCCTGCCTGGTGATTGAAGGGGTCTGCAGGTGGGGAATTATCAAAATCTGGAAGACCCTTTAATAATTGGAGGGTTCAAAGATACCAGTCTTCCCCCATGTGAATGAGTATGGGGTGCATAAAAAAAAAAAAGATGTAGACTAGAAATAAAGACACCCAAGCATTTGACAAGTCTTTTATTAAACAAATACAAATCCCCCTTGTTCCAAATCCCTTGTCAATCATGATGCCCACTGAGGACCAACTTGCTGGAAAAAAAAAACCTGACAACCCGGAGCACATGACCAATTCCGGTGTTATTGATAGCCAAATGGCAGCTCCCCAAGCTGTCGTCAGCTATATAAAAGGTTTAAAGGGTTAAGAGAGGATAGTGGTGAAATAATCATTGACCAAATATGGCCGTGGCCATATTTAGTCATTGTCCAGTAATGGCAGCTGGCCCTATTTAGTTATTTGCCAGTAATGGCCGCTGGCCATATTCAGTTATTGTCCAGTAACGGTCACTGGCCATATTTAAGCAGTGATGCCATCACTGTTCCTGCCTTTTTGGTTATGTGGGCTTGGCCATATACAAAAGTGGTAGAAATGCTGCATCTATATATGATTTTTGGCTCCCATTGAAACAGGGACCGAACGGGCAAAAGCTTGGATATTCGTCCAAACAACCGAAGTTCAGTCCAAACCTAGGTTCAAACTGAACCATCAGCTCATCCGTAATCCGTGACTCCGGTAATTCTTCTCTCTACAAAAGTGGGAGGTCCCAAAAGGAAATACACCCTATGAGCAAATATTGATATTATACGTGTTAGGACTCTCAGAACTTTCTGTCACTGGACTTGTGCATGTAATGATATCATGTCCTTGTCAGTAGCATACAGTTCTTTACCAATATTTGGGATAGTCTAGGCAGACTTTTTTAATCATTGTTGTCATTTTCTTAATCCTACTTGCTAACAAGTAGCTAAATGAAGTTAATTGCAGGTGAAATATGAGTTTGGAGATTGTTTTGAAGTGTCCATGCATTCTTTTTCTAAGGTTGCATTCACACCTGTGCATTTATAGGCGATAGTGGGGCATTTTTTTTCTGTGCTTTTTATCAGGCATTTTCATGCTTAAGAAATTCCTGTTTTAGCCAATGGAAAACCTGTTACTAGATGGAGGGGATGGTTGTTTAGGTTTGAAAAACACTTTTTTTTTTTTTTTATACCTTTTTCAGGCATTTTCCGGTGCTTCCACAGAGAGAAAAAAAAAAACCCATCCCATTTTGCTTATAACGTTGCTCATGTAGTGTTGAGCTACAGGTGTCTGACCACTCATATGTGAACAGACATGATTTAAACACATGGGATTTTGGTTGTTGAGCACTTTGAGTTTCAAGACACAAAACAATCAGGTGTGAAGCAGAGCTAAACATTTTCTTAGAAAAAGTGAAATACACAACCTGTCATTTTTATTTTCAGCTCCTCAATCTCTTTCCAAAAACATTGAAAGTCCTTCCTGGACCCCATCAGGCAATATTTAAAAATCTCAAGGAGTTGAGAAAGTTCATTGCAGAGTCTTTGGAGAGTCACAGACAGACACTTGATGTCAACTGTCCTCGAGACTTCATCGACTGCTTCTTGATCAAGATGGAGGAGGTGATGTATATACGCTGTTTACTTTTCCTCTTGACTTATTATGCTGTGTCCTTCAATATTCACTACTCTTCATCCTTCATTATCTTTAGTTCGCTAAACCAAAAAAAGGATGCATTATAGTGACACTGTTGCCAGCAAAATGATTTCCTAAAAAAGGGGCCCCTGGAAAAGTACTTACTTCTCCAGAAGCGACAGATTATAGTTTTGATGAAAAAATACAGCCTCCAGCAGAATATCTACATACTCTGTGGTTCTATCTGACACCCCATACATCACTACAGGACACAGCAACAAGGTAGTAGCCACCAGGAAAAACCACAGTGCAGAGTTGTAGACCAGGTGCCCAGTGCTCCCCGTGGTATGTTGGATGCTGAAGCAACTTTGGCAATTTTTGCTCTTTAGCAAATCCAAGTCAGTCCCTGAAGAAGCGGGTATAAACAGTCTTCCTATGCATTTTTAATGCTACATCCTACCCAATATATAGAAAAACATTTTAATGAGAGAGGAAGAACGCTAACTAAAATATGCATCGAATGAATCCACAAGGTGTCTTGCTAAGGTGAGCAGCTAATTTCCACATAAGCACCTGCTCAGTTTTATAAAACTAAGACAATATTGTTATTGGATTACAATTAGAAATCTTACCAGGTCTCCTTTGCAGACTTTAGAAGAGTTACATTTGTTGCAGGATTAGAGTTTATCCCATTGGCCCATGCATTATGGTGAAACTGTCATTAGCTCAGTGCTGTATATACTGTATTTTATTGATTTCATGATTAGTGTTATTTATTTGTTTAATATAGTCAGTATTTATTAATTTTATATTAAGTGTTGGGCATCTATATCTCCATCAGTGCAATAAAGGGGATCGGAACCTCAATAAAAGGCTGATGGCATTATAAACGTTTCCACAGAAACCACACTGCAGAAATAAAGTGATTGTAAAGGCTCTTTTGTTTGGTGGAGGAATAACAAACATGCTATACTTACCTACTGTGTGCAGTGGTTTTGCACAGAGCAGCCTGGATCCTCCTCTTCTCGGGTTCTGCCTCATGCTCTCCTATCCCCTCCCTCCTGCCGGGTGCACCCACAGCAAGCGGCTTACTATGGGGGCACCCGCTGCTCGATGTGTCCATTCATACACGGAGCTGTGGCTTGCCCCCCCATCTCTTCATTGGCTGACTGGCTGTGATTGACAGCAACGGGAGCCGCTTGCTGTCTTAGCCAATGAGGGGACCCAGAACAGCCAAGGCTGTCATTAACATCACTGAAATGCAATGAGGTTCAGGTGGGTATTGAAGGGGCTGGGAGCACTGCTGTACACAGATGGTTTTTTGTATGAAGGTGAAAAACCTTGAGCCTTTAGAATCACTTTAAGGGAGTCCCTCAGCCACGACTTTCCTCTAGGTCTTATGACTTAATGGTGTGTCCTGCAGTCAGGATCAATTTGTTGGGGCAAATCTTAGAAATGTGGAGATCCCCGGATACAAGGAGCCTGGATGTGTGGGGGGGTGCAAATTCCTATGACGGCCTATGTTATCAAGTGAGTTGACATGGCTGCCATTATCTAAAGGTGCATTTGTCCCTTATCATGTTAAGCGCACAACAGCTTGCTCCATGTCCATGCTAAATTTAGGAGGATATAATACTGAAAACAAAGCTTTACCTGTAATTTATGATATTTTAAATTTAATAACACAGGAGAAGGACAACCCGAATTCTCAATTCCACTTTGATAATTTATTTGGAACAGTTATTGATCTCTTCTTTGCTGGGACAGAAACTACGAGCACAACTCTAAAGTACAGTTTACTTATTCTGCTTAAATACCCTGAAGTGGAACGTAAGTATTATGTAGCATCCCAATATGCTGCACAAACTGTTGGTGCTATATAAATCCTGTACAATAATAAATACCTAAAATGGTAATAATGCATTGATTTGGATGTTGTAAAAATTGTTGACCTCACAAGAGTAACAGCATTTTATTATATCATAAATATGGCTGCAAGATTACAGTATTTGTTTCTCAAGATTCTCAGTTAACCCACTCTTATACGTACCAAGAAATCTTGGCATCAATTTTTGGCTTGTGTATATTGGAATACATTTCCCAGCTGGCACACTGCATCAAAGTGATCCCCATTTTGGCCAGTCCTTAAATCATCAAAATACTTGCCTAATAGAGTACTTAAAGCAGAACTCCGGGAAGAACATTTACTAGATGGCAGTATTGGTGCTGTTATACCTTAGTGCAATGTGCTGCTTGTTTCTTCCTCCACTGTGTAATCATTTGAAAAATCCAGGGTGCAATATTTGAATCCTAGCTTGAATCCGTCTCATTTCCGGTTTGCAAGACCGGTGGCTATTATGCTCTGTATCCCTGTGGCCACCGGTCTTGTCTCCACCCCCGCTGTAGTTTGTTACAGTGAGCAAAGGTGTAATTATGTCCCTGTTAGCTGTAGTGGGCAGACTAGAGAGTCCCAATATGTGCTGCCCATTGTGGATAGGAGATACAGCCCTCAGCTCCACCTCCGCCTTCTGCTCCCCTTCCAGAGCTCTGCACATGCTGCCTTGCAGGATAGCAGATGCAGCTCTCAGTGCCAACCAGGGGTGGACTGACCATTTGGAAACTCTGGCACTGCTCGAGGGCCCGGGGTCAGTAGGGGGCCCCATGAGATGCCCCTGGTACCTTTTTCATAGGCTTTTTTGAGTTTGGGCAAGGACACAGGGGCCCCATGATCCCCTATTGCCCGGGGGCCCCATGAGTTGTCAGTCCGCCCCTGGTGCCAACGCCACCCTTTGCTCCTCCTCTGGTTCACTGCACACGCTGACACATCTCCTGCATTTCCCTTTGTATCATGATAAATGTAGTCCTCTTTGCTTGCTGAGATGTGATGTACAGCATGAGGGAATATCATCCTCCCGGCTCCAGAAGCAAGCACTTTTTTGCTAGGGACATAAGACGTCACTAGGGCTAAAACTCTTGGATTACAAAAAAAGTAAGGCACTATCCTTTAAACTGTGCCGGTAGTTCAAGAGAACTTAGAGAGAGGATCAAATAATTCCAAAGATAGTTAGATCCTGGAGATCAGCTTTAAATGGATATATAGTCCTCATACGGGTGAACTGACACAGAGAAGAAACTACAGATTCTGGTCTTGCTGCTGACCCACTCCATGCAATAAAGCTGGAAGAATGTATGTTCTTAAATGAAAACGGCTTTCATACGTATAACATATGAGCTACTAGAAGGGTGGATCTGACACCACAATAAGTACTATGATCTATAAAAGCACAATGCTATTTTGTTTTTAGTGCTTTACTTAGTTTGACTGCTATGGATGTGTCCTATACCTCATGGCAGTCAAAGGGGGATAACAAGCTTGTGGTTACAACAGCAACCACAAGCTTGTATCAAAATTACTCTGTTTTGTCAATGTAGAGGTGATCTGGTTGACAGTACAGCCCTTCGTGGTGAGGACACCCCATCATCTCCAGTGGTTTCAGGCTCTTCTGTTTTGGAGCCCAGGGCTACTATAAATCGCATAAGGATGGTGAGTGGGAGAGGATTGGGGTACAGTAGCCATTGCACCTAAAACTGAAATCTCTGTGCTCTGAGCACTTTTGGGTTCTCTGCTTTAAGATACTGGTAGTAGCTGAGTTCGAAGTGGACCATGGACTCTTTGTTCCAGATTTGCATGGGCACAAGACATGGGAGACAATAGGGGTCCAGTAATGTCTCCTTTAAGACAACCTGTCACTGCACAATACTATTACAACGGAGTTTTTTAGCCCCCTTTATGAAATTAGGTAAAGGGTAAAAAAAAATTATAAGTGAATTTGAAAAATAATAAAATTGAATAAAATAAATGTTAAAAATTAAGGGATCTTTTGTCCACATGCACATCTGTAAACTTGCACACTTTAAGGACACACACGTGTGTGTAAATGAAGATTTCACAACACATATTGGGTATTAGCAAGCATGCTGGAATGAACAATTCCAGGACCATCAATCACAGCTAACATTAAAGTAGAACTATTGGCAAACTTTTTTTTTTCATTATAGATAGAGCAAGGGAAGGCTAAAACCCAATTTAGAATTGTCTTTGACATATGTGTCCCATTTCTGAGATTTCCATTCACTTCCTGTCCAATAGCCAAACAGGAGGTCACCTGACCTAGTGTCCCCATTGGGGAATTTCCCCTCTATTACTTTTCTGGTGACAACCCAAAATTTTGGGATTTCCTTTTACTTTCATTTCAATTATAATGGTAAACAGGACAAAGAGGGTGAATCTTCCTAATGGGGGCACAGACAGCAATAACAACCTGACATGGATTCTAATCCTTTTCCACTCTATCCAAAACTAAAAAAAAAAGTTTGCCTTTAGCTATACTTTAAATTTGTAAGCTGTAAAATGTTTTTGAAGTACACCTATCTACAATTTGGGATATAGTTTGTCCCTGTTTAGCAGATGCACTTAATTTTAAGGATTTACATATTTGGTATCTATCTACTTGACATTTTCTTGTCTTTTTAACTTTTACAAAAATTCAGTGGGGAATTCTATTTAATTAATTGTATTGACCATATACGAGTGTATTTATTTTGTGCTGAAAATATAAATTTGATAATCTGTTCCCAACATATTGGGCAACATAAACATTTAACCTACCATCTTTTTATTATGCAGATCCTGCACTTTCAGCAAATAAATGAGACCTTCATATTTTTAAAGAATTTTCAGACCAAAAGTAAAACTTTTAGCATGTATATGAAAAACTGAACAATTGCTCTGGCAGCAAAACTGATAAGACAATATATATAAATTTCCAAAAAAGCATGTTTTTTCTCCAAATACAACACATTATAAAACAATTTGTAAATATTTAGACACTCATATTTGGTAGTGAACGTCCATTAAAAAAAAATACTTAACCCATGCTTTGTCATCATGTAGTAATGTGAGTATTGGAAGCACCAATTAAGGTTTTTTTCCTGTGGACTGAAGTCTAGGCATCTAGGTTAGGCGGTTGATGGAAAGATCTACCATCCACAAAACAGGACAGACTGCTAATGACTGCAGTGCTACCTTGTTAAAATTCTTCATCAAAATCAAGGTGTAAAATTTAACACCAAAATCTTCACGCTGGGGCTAAAACTTCATATAAAGTCTAATCAAGCTGCTAGCACAGTATTGTGGGATACCATATCACATAAACATATAAAAAAACAGTGCAGTGCTAAAGTGCTAATAATAGCAGATGATCCACCATAACATTTTGAAGAATAATTGGTGCCATATTGGAGGTGGCACAGTAACTGGAGGCGGGGAGTCCAGGTTGACATCTTCTGAGATTAATCTTGCCCACCTGGTTGGATCTATCTGTAAATCTATGAAAGCGGGATCTGGGAGAGAAGCTAGTTCCTTCTGGTTATTCCCATTTTCATCATCCTTTGAGCACCAGCATCCATTGACCAGCCTATCAAGATCTTCTAGGTGGACTTTGCTGCACTCCTCCAGTTGAATTACACTTTTTGTTTGTTGGAGGGACTTTCCAATTTATCTGTTTGCATTCTATTTTATTATGCTTGAAAAGTTATACTGTAGTAGATTATCTGCTATTATTAGCATTGCACTATTTTGTATATAGAAATCAAAGTGTACCCACTGTGGTGTTTTTATTAACAAATCTTTCTTTGGAAACTCTAAAGGGAAAGTCCACGAGGAGATCGACCATGTAATTGGCCAGAGCCGGAGTCCCTCAGTAGAGGATCGTGTAAAAATGCCATACACAGATGCGGTCATCCATGAAATTCAGCGGGTGGCTGACATAACACCTCTAGCACTGCCTCATAGTGTCAGTCAGGATGTCACGTTTCGAGGATATAACATTCCTAAGGTCAGAAATTTCAGAGCTTTTTTGTACTGTGCATATCAGGATAATTGCGTTTGTCAGCAGGCTTTGGCAAGGGGGGTGGTTGACCTGATGGTTGAGCTGCGGTTTTACCACACTCCAATTGCCTACCTAAACCATGACCTGCAGCCAGTGGATACTGTAGACATGAAAATGTAACGTGGCTTGTCGAAGTTGACAGGTAGCAGTGCAAATCAATGGGACTGTGCCACTTCTGGTTTGCCTTCTGGTTGTGATATGTTGGTTCCTTTTGAAAATTGCCAAAAAAAGGCGGTGACAGGATTGCCTCTGAAAAGCAATACACTGATTGCTTTTGTGCATGTGCTGCAGTGTGAACTTAAGCCTGCAGATCAAATACACATGTCAATTCATTTTGCAAACTCTATCTAATATCTAAAACACATTTCAGCACAAGCCCAAAGCTTGTAGACACAGCCCCTAACACATATATAGACAGCATTTATTTATACATTAGCTCATTTTCACACACTGCTCTGTACCTTCTTTACGATAAATATTCACTAATGCTGCGTTACTTCTTCTTCCACACACTGTCACCTTCTGTACTCTTCTTACTTATTTTTTATTCACCTTTTAACCCAGTAGATCAGTGGTCACCAAACTGCAGCCTGGGGGCCAGATTTGGCCATTTGCTTGCCTTTATCCAACCTTTGGGGCACTGTTCTCCCACTGACATTAACAATGGAATAGGAATTCCTCCCACTGACATCAAAGATGAGGCACTATTCCTCCAACTGACTTCAATAATGGGGCACTATTCCTCCTACTGAGACTTGGGGCACTATTCCTCCTACTGAGACCAACGGGGGCACTCTTCCTCCCACTGAAACTAGGGGCTGGGGCACTCTTCCTCCCACTGAAACTAGGGGCTGGGGCACTCTTCCTCCCACTGAAACTAGGGGCTGGGGCACTCTTCCTCCCACTGAAACTAGGGGCTGGGGCACTCTTCCTCCCACTGAAACTAGGGGCTGGGGCACTCTTCCTCCCACTGAAACTAGGGGCTGGGGCACTCTTCCTCCCACTGAAACTAGGGGCTGGGGCACTCTTCCTCCCACTGAAACTAGGGGCTGGGGCACTCTTCCTCCCACTGAAACTAGGGGCTGGGGCACTCTTCCTCCCACTGAAACTAGGGGCTGGGGCACTCTTCCTCCCACTGAAACTAGGGGCTGGGGCACTCTTCCTCCCACTGAAACTAGGGGCTGGGGCACTCTTCCTCCCACTGAAACTAGGGGCTGGGGCACTCTTCCTCCCACTGAAACTAGGGGCTGGGGCACTCTTCCTCCCACTGAAACTAGGGGCTGGGGCACTCTTCCTCCCACTGAAACTAGGGGCTGGGGCACTCTTCCTCCCACTGAAACTAGGGGCTGGGGCACTCTTCCTCCCACTGAAACTAGGGGCTGGGGCACTCTTCCTCCCACTGAAACTAGGGGCTGGGGCACTCTTCCCTCCCACTGAAACTAGGGGCTGGGGCACTCTTCCTCCCACTGAAACTAGGGGCTGGGGCACTCTTCCTCCCACTGAAACTAGGGGCTGGGGCACTCTTCCTCCCACTGAAACTAGGGGCTGGGGCACTCTTCCTCCCACTGAAACCAGCAATTGGGGCACTATTCCACCCACTGAAACCAGCAATTGGGGCACTATTCTGCCCACTTAAACCAGCAATTGGGGCACTATTCTGCCCACTTAAACCAGCTACTGGGGCACTATTCCTCCCTCTGACACCATCAATGAGGCACTATTCCTCCCACTGACAACAACGATGGGGCACTATTCCTCCCATTGACAACAACGATGGGACACTATTTCTCTAATACCAAAAATAGGCCATTGTTTGCTCCCACTGACACCAGGACATTTTCTACTCCCACTGGCCACAGTCCGGCCCTCCTAAAGTTTAAAGGACAGTAAACTGGCCCATTGATTAGAAAGTTTGGAGACCCCTGCTCTAGATTGTCAGATTGTACATATAGGGCTGTCTATTGTATCATGTTTACACTGAATATACTGTAGTACTACACCGCTTTAGATATTTGTCACTGGGATGTTTCTATGTATGTGTATTAAAAATGCAAAGTTTTGAGGTCGGTTTTAATTGTATAATAGACATACTTAAATTTTTTGTTTTTATGAAACCTTTTAAAGCTTGTGTATATCTTTTCTATGTTTTTCTTACAAAATGCAGTCTTCATACTGGGTTGTATGAGAAATATAGGTGGAAGCTGTTTGCTTCCTGGCTATCTCTCTTTAATCAATGCAACTGTTGCAGGTGACTGCAATTTTTACATATTATGTATTATTCCATTATGTTTCTAGGGCACACTTGTCTTCCCTATGCTGACATCCGTCTTGAAGGACCCCAAATACTTTAGGAACCCTCAGAAGTTTGACCCTGCACACTTTTTGAATGATAATGGTGGCTTGAAGAAGAATGATGCTTTCCTGCCTTTCTCATTGGGTAACGTCTGTCATCAATACAGATCATGCAAATGTAGCATGTGGAGATGATTAGTTGGAGGTGTTGAAATTAAACCTCTCATCTCCAATTACATTAATTCTAGATAAATAGTAGACCTCTAATGTTCACAGTTGCCCTTTGTTTTGGAGCTCTACTGTGAAGTTCCCCATCAATAACCTTCCCTTACTGCTTCTTCATTTACTTCTGTCTTGAATTCTTGGATGTCAGACACACAGTTCTAACAGACAGTACAGCATAGAAATTCCTGTTCTGGGTACCCTGTCTGTCTTTAAGCCTAGGTTCACACAAATGTGGTGCAGGAAACCATGAGATCTGTGTGCATTTCCCACACCGCATTCAAATCTCACTGCCCTTGCAATCTGCAATGGGTGTCAGTGCAAGCTTATACCACCCCAAACGCAGGTCACAAGTGCAGTGTGTTTGCCTGCACTAGATCACATAAAGTACCATGCAATCTGTTTGTGGTGCAGTTCCAAAATTAGTGCATATATGACTTTTTGGTGCGATGCAGAGCAATTTGAGCCCATTCAAAAGAAATGGGCTCAAACTGGACTGCAGTGAATTGCATGTGAATTGAACAGAAATGTGGTGCGGTTCCTGTGCAATTCACATGTGATTCATAATGTGAACTGAGACTTAGTTCACTTTTTATTATGTGAAAACAACTTAACCCCTTGGCCCTCTAAGGGTTTCAGAAGCCGGGAGGCGGGGCGAGGTTTAGGCTCATGAGACTACCGTGACACGCCATAATGGTGGTCACATGATTGGGAAAGATCCTGATCGAAAGAGGAGATCGGAACCAGGGGCGGACTGACAACTCATGGGGCCCCTGGGCAATAGGGGATCATGGGGCCCCTGTGTCCTTGCCCAAACTCAAAAAAGCCTATGAAAATGGTACTAGGGGCATCTCATGGGGCCCCTACTGACCCCGGGCCCTCGGGCAGTGCCCGGGCTTTCAAATGGTCAGTCTGCCCCTGATCGGGACCTTTCCGTGAGTACCGGACATGTGTGCTGGGAGTGTGCAGGACATGCACTCTCAGCACATGTTTTTTTTTAATAGAACGCAAATGTGTGGCCGTTCGGCATCTAGGCCCAGACGCCGGGAGGCCGCACATTTGCATTCAGCTGGCACCAAGAGGTTAAAGTGTTAGTAAACCCAGGGCCCTGCATTCACTCTATCTGGTCTCCTACAGTACACACAACATGGAAATGAAATTATTTTAGGAAATATAAACTGCTAAATACCTTTTCTCATCAGCAGGTAGAGCAGTCTTATGACTTCTATCAGTGTTCAGCAGAGCACTGGTTAAAGCTTGTAGGAGGAGCTTTCTTTCTACTCTAGCAGGATGCAAAACCCCTGGCCTCTGTGGACAGTGCTGATTGGCGCTGTGCTGATCACATGCACTCTCCCAGAAAAAAAAAAACCTAGCAATACATACCAGACTGAGCATGTGCAGAGTGTCTCCACATAATGTCTTATCAGGAGATAAGATGGGGGTCACTGGAAGAAGGGGAGCAAACCCCCTTTTTACACAATGCAGAGAATTAACCCCTTAGGTTTCACACTGAGCATAACAAGCATGGTTTTCTGCATATACAGAATTATTTTACTGTTGTGGGTTTAGTAACACTTTAAAAAACAAACCTGGTTATATTCAGAGAACATAACAAAACTGTGTAAACAGAATACCTCCAAAAACAAGTTAAACCTTTTTATACTTTAGCATATTTAAAATCTAAAATCCCCTTTTCTGGCATTTAGTCTATTCAGTGAAGGGGACCTAGTAGATATTAAAAACTGTGCAGATTTGAAAAATTTTCATTAATTTCAATGTCATACCTGGAGACCATTTGGACCTAACTGAAAGCCTGGCCGAACAAATAAACTCCCCCATCCTGCCTTGTTGCTAGCATGTTCACTCACGTAAAGCTGGGAGTGAGTGTCCAATGGTTGTTTCTGTTTGGACAAGGTGGGGCTGGTGAATTCATGAGCTCCACCTCGGTCAATCAGAGAAAGCTTTGCCTTCAATTAGAAAAGTGCAAGGCATTCTGTGAACAGTGGCAGTGCAAGGCATTCTGTGAACAGTGGCAGTGACAAACAACCGACTCCATGTGGTTACTATACAGCAGGCTGTCTGCTTGGTGTGGGACCCAGAAAATAGTGGTGATCATTGTAATAGCGGTGACTACTACAGTGGTTCTCCCACAGGTATGGCATTTGAATACTTGCATTGGTCCACCTTGGACCAATGCAGCTAAGCAACAATATCCATACCTGTAATTCAACTTCATCAGAGTAGGAATTCTTGTATTTTTAAAAGTCTTATTTTTCAGTTAGATTAGAAAATTACAGTCAGATGGCTAAAAATAAAGATTTTTGTGTACGACTTTGTGAATAGAGATTCATGACTCATCGCTAATTATTAAATATATCTCTGCTCTACACGCTGAGTGATCATCGGAGTGTCAGCTTGTACTTATACTGCACACCCTCAAGACATCTATTGTTTCTCTGAAGGCCAGGTATGAACATTGTGTAAGGCAGCACATTTGGACATCTGGATGTCATTTTCCATGGCCATGTGAGGTGCCATGCACTTGTAATTGATCCATACTCCTCTTCCCCCTTTTTGTGAAGTGAAATATAGTGGGGGGTTTGGGAATACATATTTAAAATTTATTTTGATGTAAGCTACTCATATGTGACTGTATTTGTCTATGAGTCCTTTGTGGTCATGTAAATTTCCTATTTGGATTATTTGATCATGACTTTAGTGCAATAAACTGATTAGGTCTAATACATATACATAGTAATATTCTATTTTGGGAGATCCGAGGCCATGAGGATGTGGGTAATCCTGCGAAATGTGTCGGCCTTAATGATCTCCAGAGGCTTTACAATCTAAGGTCTTCTACAATCAACAATATAATATGTGATAGAATTGGCGTTTGATCCACGCACAATATTATTTTATATTGGCATATTTTATAAATGTACAGTATAACGAAAGATGTATTGTTTTTAATGAACTGCATTACTTATTTGCACAATCCTTGGAGGTATATCTAAAGTCCCATCAACTAGATGATTCTCTATGGTATGGCTGTGCAAGGCAGCAAGGGTCCAGAATCTCAGGAGGCCTGCCACTGCTGAAAACACCTACAATTATAAAAACCAAGCTCTATAAATATGAACCTCCTTATTATAGACTTTTTATGAAAATGATCTGGTTTTGTATTGCCATCCACAGGTAAGAGAAGTTGCATCGGAGAGGGTCTGGCGCGGATGGAAATTTTTCTCTTCATAACCACCCTATTACAGAGGTTAAACTTGAAATCAACCGTGTCCCCCGCAGAGCTAGAAATATCCCCGGAGCCTAACAAGAACGGAGCAATAGCCAGAACATACCAACTGTTTATGACTTCAAGATGAGACTCCTATTCCAAGATGGCATGCTCTTCTATAACAGGGCTCTATTTTTGTATACTATATGTTTAGTGTGTACTAGAATCTAATATAAAGAAACAAGTCCATCTTTTCATAAAAAAACAAAAAGGCAAGTTAACTCTAAATATCCTGACCACGCCTCCAACCCCTGCCGCACCCAGCAGCCGTGATGCCCCGTACTGCCACTGTAGTTGTTTATAGACCATGCAGTGCAATACAAAGTCCTGGAGAGAGAACCCATCATAAGGCTTGAAAAATGCTCATTGGTCAGCTTGACTACATGGCTGTGCTGACCAAGAGAAGCACTTCTTATTTCTGGGACACCATTCAGTATGTGGTTTTCATTGATCAGCACAGCCACGTAACTGCATTGACCTATGAGCTCTGGGATTGTGTTTTGCAATATATGGACCACTACACCGGTAGCATCCAGCAGCATGGCCACTATGTGCAGCACACTCCGCAAGGGTAAGCAGGATATTTTGAGTTACTTCACCTTTTCACTATTCATGAAAAGGTGAACTTACCCTTTGACTAGAACTCATAATACAAAATTACTTTTTTCAGCTCAGTTTGAGTGTGTGCGTGTTTTTTCCTCTAAATTTACTGGCTGCGATATCATTACGTGCTTATAACAGGAATGGGCCCAATGAACCACAACCACAATGCTAGTGTTCATCCAAAAGCATTCTACACAATTATCGAACACTCTGATATACAGACTTTTCTACTTGGTAGTAGAAACCTCAATGCGTTTCATAGGGTACCTTTTATGAGTAAGTTCTGCATGGAGTGAAACACATTGCAGTTTCCGCTATTAAGTCTGTAGATCAGAGCATTCAATAAATGCATACAAGGCTTTTTAAACAGTAAACTGTTTGCCGTTCTCTTTGTGAGTAGTTTGGATGAGCTCTTTTTGGAGCAGTCAGATTTTCAAACCACTGCTGCCAGCTTCCTTTTCTGAGCCTATTGGCTTCTCTTTGAATTATCACCCATCGCTAAAGCTTGACATAAATCCAAACGTTCCACCTGCTTATTGTACTGACATGGACAATTTAACCCTTGTACTGCCATTCTATTAGTATCAACAATCAATGTACAGGCTCCTTTCCAACTCTTGCAGAATCTCTACAGGTGATATTTAGGGCTTTAACCACTTGACCCCAAGGCCATTTTTGATATTTCTGTCATACATGTAAAAATCTTAATTTTTTTTTTTGCTAGAAAATTACTTAGAACCCCCAAACGTTATATACTTTTTGAACAGACACCCTAGAGAATAAAATGGTGGCTGTTGCAATTTTTTATGTCAGCGGTTTTCCAAACACCAATTTTTTGGGAAACACTTTAATTAATTTTAGTGCACACAAACCCAATATAATACTCACATTTTTGGTAAAATATAAAAGATGATGGCTCTCTCTGCAGCAGCTGAAGGCCAGCGGGAGGGAGAGGAGAAGAAGCAAGCTTTACACTGCTGCAGAGAGAGCCCTACAGGGGATCGGTTCCAGTAATTTCCCCTCAGCTGTTCTGATCACCCTCCCTACTTACATCTGATTCACCCAGCTTCCTAGACCCCCCTGCTGGCCTGGGCCCCCTACAGGAGGACTGGTGGTTCCCGCTTATCCACGGCACTGATTGCTATCACAAGGGATGAACAACATCCCTTGTGATAGCATGGGTCATGAGAGATCCCAGGTCTATGAGATCCCAGATCTCTCCTCTGACCTCCAAAGCAGCAGATAAAACCAAGATTGGTTTAACCTGCTGCTACAAGTCAGCAATGGCTTGTAAAGAAAGGAACTGAAACTGGAAGTGACAAAATCCTCATCGCTTCCGGCTTCTGATATCACACATGGGAGGGGCAAGATCTGTTCCCCTCACTGTGTTCAATGAAGCTGATACCATGGGTGGCATATTTTCTATGCTCCCCAATCGCTCAGCAGAGCCTGGTAAGGTGGAAACAGCAGTGGGAGGAGTGTTGGGACCCATTCCATTGCCTGTAAAAGTAATTAAGTGGCTGCTTAACTGCTGGATTACTTATACAGTAAAGAGAATTGCCGGAAGAAGAAAATTATATCTTGACCATTGCTGCAGCGATGACCAAGATATCACCTTTTGAATCCAGCGACGTACCAGTACGGCGCTGGTCTGCAAGAGGTTTTAAAGGTTTTTTCATTAATTTGTAATAAGGGTAATGCCTTATAACTAACCAGGAGTAGGCACAGCATCCTCTGGGCAGGCCATGAATAGCATCACTATTGGAATCTCACTTTTACACTGATCATTTCTTGCAACCCCTTGCACAGAACCTCCATTCTTATATCCGAGATGGTACAAATTTGTTGGACACATTATCACCTTACAAGTGGGAGCTCACGTAATTCCCTCATTCCTTTGGCTTACCAGCAATACAATGCGTCCTGTCCTTAGACTCAGGATTAAACCCCAGACAAGCTAGTTTCATTTTAGAAGCAACTAAGTTTTGTTTAACCCATATCTATTTCAGTTTTGAAGGGGAATTCTACCTGCAAAAAAAAGAACTGCTATGGGCACTAGTTTTTCCCCTCCATATGCAAGCCAAGCCATGGGTTATTGGTAAACCCACCACATATGGAAAAACAATCCATTTGCATCTAATATAATCTTCTTCAGAAGGTATATACAGTAGATGACATAATTTACATCTGGGATGGTCCAACCACTTTGGTTAACCAATTTGTAGATTAATGTAAAAGTAATCCATATGGACTTTCATTCATTGTTGTCCATAATGCCAACACATTAGCTTTTTTAGATCTGGAAGTCAGTTGGGACAACATAATCAATCATGCAAAAATACTATACCAAACCCACAGCAGGTAACTCTTTTTTTGCATTTAATCAGTTGCCATTATCCAAAATGGACACAAAACATTCCTAGGGGTCAGGTCTGTTGATTACAACAGAATTGTATTAAGGGCGAAGACTATATCCAACAAAATCTCGCCCTAATAAAACAAATTTCATGACAAAGGCTACCCCGAGGACTTGGTAGGTGATGCCTATAAGCTCCATCTAAAAAATAAACCCACCAAAGCAGATAAAGATATCAGCGACCATTCTAGAAGAATTATTACTACATTCCACAGCCAATACAATAAAATGAAAAAAAATATTGGTTGGACACTGGACATTTTACAAGAAGATCCACATCTAAAACCCATCGTTCCAACCATTCCCAGAGTTCCTTATCAGCAGGCACCCAACCAAACAAAATTGCACACAGCAAGTTAAAATCCAATTGCTCTGAACCACTTCAATCTTGCTTAATCCCAGCAATAGGCATGTATCAATGCAAAAAGGCCCTATGTAAAACTTGCCACTTCGTACCACATGGCAAAAAAGATTTTTCCACAAAAGGTAAAACATACCAATTAAACAACTTTTATAACATCTCAGATTTAGTTATTTATGCCTTATTCTGCTCCTGTGGACAATTATATGTAGGCAGAATCCACTAAAGGCCTACAGGTCTCAAAATCATTCTTTGAAGGTGAGCGTTTTCACAAACCATGCGCTAGAGAAACCTTTTGGATATATTCTCTGGACACCCTGACTCCAGGTGGGCGTAACGAAGAGTGCCACCATAATATAATACACAGCATTCCTACACGAGAATTGGCCACCAATAACACCAATCCTAAAATCCTGGGCGCCTTCTCTTCCCCCAATATATATCACACATTTGGGGTAACTTTTTATTTTTCTTCTCATATTTTTTATTTGCCTATATGTTACAAAAAGTTGTACACAACCTACAAATATCTTTCATATTGTAATTAATTTATCATATATTTTTTCACTTGGGGCATTTTTCTTTATTTCCTAGGCTTAGTATATTTGATCGGTTATACTCGATCTCTTACCTGAAGTCCAGAATTACATATCCCAGTACTCCTTGACACGAGCTAAAAATAATAGCTCTTTATTAATTATCATACAGTATTCCTCTCTCTTAATTTTTCACCATTACGTTGTCATTATTACTATATGGTCTTTCAATTATTCCCAACATTCATGATATGACAGGATGACCTGCCCGCTAGTCCATATTTTCAACTTGTTGACTCATTTCTCTTCTCCTGACAATATTGGGTGTTTTTAGTGGCCATTTTGTTATTGTTGCTATTTTACCATTACATTATAGGCATAATAATGTATTTATTATTATTATGTGTATTCTTTGTCCATGATCCATAATTATGCATTTATTGCTGTTTTTATGATTTCCTATTGAATGGTATGTTCCTAAGATTGTCCCATTAGCCACATGTATTTATCAGTAGAGACGTTCCTTTTACAATTGTGGGCCACCTTTATACATACAGTAACAATAGGTTGCTCTTTTAAATTGCTCCTTTAAAAGTTAATGGACCATTGGTGATCCCTATTTATTAACATTTCTCTTAGTTGCATCCATCCATCCTATTTGCTTGACAAAGGAGCGTTGCACATGCTCAGGCAACGCGTTGTGGCACCCAGGTGGCATAATCATGCCTGCACGCTGCGTTACAACAATGCTCCAAACCTCAGTGTGGGATCTCCTCCATCTTAGCCAGCAACAAAAGACCACAACCCTGGGAGCCACAACGTTGTGCACATGTTCACACAGCATCTTGACGATCTAGTTTTTTGATGCTCAGAAATTTTAAGCCTCTGGGATCCTTCTTGTGACATTCTCTAAAATGGGAAGAAAGACTGTGCTTTTTGAAACCTGTCTTGATATTATAGACATGCTCCCTTAAATGGTCTCTAAACCTCCTCGTAGTCCTACGTATGTTACTGTTTATGACAAGGACTTCTAGCAAGTAAACTATGTACCTAGATTCACAAGATATAAATATAATAATGGGATACTCTCTATTAGTAACCATTGAGGCCTAAAACTAGTGGCCATCAAAAAATTGAAGCTGTATTGGCAAGGTTGTCACCGAATGCGGGAG